ATCTCTCTCTCTCCCTCTCTCTCTCTCTCTCTCTCTCTCTCTCTATCTATCTCTCTCTCTCTCTGTGTGTGTGTATCATGTTATCATGGATGTGTGTGTCGTATGTTGTTGATTCAAGTCTTTTCTTCACTAGACTTTGAATACAAATCTTTCTAGATCTATAGGCTAATATTATTGTGTTTCTGGATCGGATAGCAGTTATTTCTCACGTCTCACGTTCTAATAAATAAATAATAAAGGCACAAAATTATGGTGGTTTGCGCATTTTTAGGGGTAACGTTAGGGGAAGGGTTAGGGGTTGGGTCTCTTCTTTTTAGTGTTTGGGAACCTAGTGTTTGTTGAGGGTGTTATGGGTGTGGGGGTTGGGTTAGGGTAAGGTCTCTTCTTTATTACAAGTGTTTGTTTAGGTTGTCGCTTGAAACGGAAGTCTAATTATTCCTATTATTATGAGACAGTGCATGGGACGGGGATGGGAGGGGGGGATTTCAATAATTTTTGTATCACATGTCACATGATGTTATATTATAAAACATTGTACTGACATTCGGACCTGCGAGATCACACACACGCACACAAACACACACACACACACACACACACACACACACACACACACACACACACACACACACTCACAGCGCCAGGCCTAAAACCTTTTACTTTAACACACACTTCTAAATCCCGCTCCCAGAAATCTAGATAATGCCGAGGGAGATGTGGTAATACAAGACAACTCAAAGTATGCACAATTTTTCGTCGGTCATCCGTTAAATTTTACTAAACCCAGTATTCTTACTTTATTCACTTGCAATTTCTTCATTTGCGGTATTGTTTGCGAGTACTCAAGGAATACTTTGTCAAAATTCAAATTCTAAATGCTAAAAAAGCAAAAAAAATACATAATGTAGGGATATTAGTTAAAAGAATGAAGCAGCTTTCTTTCCCCTTGTCTGTAAAATACTGCTTCCTGGGCCAAGTACATTTTAACAGCTTGCCGACGATTTTCAGCTTGCCGATGATTTACCCCAGCTGAAAACACTCCTCTCACCTTGCCCGCTTGTTGCAGCTGAGACCTGTCCTTCTTGGCTGCCCCCGCTATAGCCCGGCCCTGCACCAGCCCGCTAATGATCATAAGAGGCAGGAAGGAGACGACCACAAGAGCCAGCTTCCAGCCAAAGACAAACGCGATGGTCAGCGAACAGCCCAGAACGGAGATCGCCTCTAGAACCTGTCCAATTTTAGAGCCAGTAGCCTAGGGGGAAAAGATACCACCATGTTTTATATATATGACAATATACGTCGCGGCACAAATATATGAAGATTCAAAAAGGTTCATGGTTATGTTGCTATCTTTTTGTACCTTAAAAGAGTGCCTTGCAGCAAATTGAAAGGAAGCAAAAAGCCAAGGACTATATTATTATTATGTAAGGCAATCAACGAAGCATGGGTTTCGAGATATTATCTATCTCCAAAAAGACAGAGCCATGGGAACTCTTCAAACAAACCAAGCTTAATAAAATGCGGGACTGAGATTTCAGATAAGTAAACAGCCGTAATAAGTTGCCTTGTAATTTAATGCCCTTGAAATGGGTGTACAGTTCTGGTGATCTTACAGTAGATTCAGAGAACACTGAATATATCATAAGTTCAACTTTTCAAGACACCTTTACTTCACAAAGCAGGAAAGTCATACAGTCAAAGATACAAAAAACATTCAAGGGAGGAAATTCAGAAAAGAACGAGAATTAAGAGTTGAAAAACGGCGAATCAACTGTCACAAAATAATAATAACAAAGCAAGACCTATCTAGACGTCATTTGACAACACATTTTCCGTACGCCAAGTTCGTGGTTCAACAAACGCCACAAAGCTCAAAGAAATCAAAAGTTTGGAAAGGTTCAAAAGCACATTTTTTAAATCATGAAAAAGTATAATAAATGCATATAAAGCATACCCCTTGCACCATGCTTGCGTCAGCTGAGAGTTTAGAAGCTATGGCTCCGACTTGGTTGTGTGGTTGATCAAAGAACTCCATATCCTAGAACAAAATAGAATGTAACACATTGTTAGAAATGTTAGATAACATAAACATTGTCTCCTCATCAAGAGGTGTGGCGTGAAGACAAAGTTGTTGTTTTTTAAGTTTTCGTAACGTTTTACGGCACTTGCAACACAATAAGGTCATATAAGTGCCGAAGATTTGATGTGTTACAAGAGAGTAGCAAACACAAAAAAGGAGGGGAGATAAAGACGGCAGAAAGGAAAGAAGAAGCAAACCACACCAGAGCACCTGCCAACCACCCACCAGCGTGCTGTCTAATAGAGAAATGTTCGTATGATATCGTACGGGTTAACCGTCTTTTTCAACACAGAAAGGTTATTTCCTCGTAAGAGACTGGACCGCCAAAATATAATGTCAATCTCCGACAGAATCGAGCCAAATATTCTGACAGAATTCTCCAAACAACCCAAGTTCATAATAAATGCAGCATTTAGGGATTCGTGACAAGGTCATCTGAACCATGACCAAATAAAATACAAATCAAATGCCACGCCTGAGAAATATTTCGTTGGCAACCTGTTGACAGGTACTGAGCCCAGAAAGCAATATTCTACTTTAGAGGATAATACGGTTTCATTCTATAAACAGTTGTACATTATGGGGTTGTTGGTTGTTGTTGGATTTTTGTTTTTTGGTTTTTTTTGCATTTTCCAACAACTAGCACTAGAATTTCAACAAAATAGTTCTTGAGCACATGCAAACGTTGCCACAGATTAAGAACCTACAATTTTTATAAAAAATTAAATTCAGAATTTTGGGCTTAGTACATTTCAGCAGCTGGCCGGCGATTACTTGTGGGAGCAGTAATTAGTTTTGGCATCACGATGGTTTACTAAGTTGCTTCCCCTCTTACAGAGAACAATGTTGTTACGACCTACCAACTCCTCCTGTATCCTGACTAGTTTTGTAAACAAACTATCAAGACATTATAGGCGTATGTTAATAGGTCTGCTTTAGAGTACGTGGGTAAAGGGGGGGGGGGAAAACAAGAAAGAGGCAGAGGAGGAAAGAGAAAGGAAGTGAGGGGGGAGACAGAGATAGGAAGAAAGGTGATGGGATGATGATGATGATGATGATGATGATGATGATGATGATGATGATGATGATGAAGAAGAAGACCTCGAACATTTTAAAACATCTGATACAATCTATATATTCAAGACTCCGGTATATTTTCTGCTGAAAAAAAACGATGATTATGATGATGATGGTGGTGGTAATATTCTTGAACTACCTGTATTCAGTATACAAACATAAATTAAAAAGAAAAAAATCAAGTCCTCAAAATGCCGCCTTCAACTGAACACATGTTAAAAATTAAATTCCATTATAACAATAGTAGAACAGGCTCCAAAAGACGTCGTCATTTAAATACAATGCCCTCTTTTTGGCACGAATTTACGATATTTCGTTTTGATTAATATTGAAAGTTGAAAATCAGCATAAATGTACATAAAAGCAAATCGGCATGATAATGCTCACTGGGTGCTTGAAAAAAAAATAGACATACAGACAGAAACAAAATAGGGATATTCAAAGAAACAGGAGCTACAAGTGTCGCCTTTCTAACAGCCGCCAACAGATTTCGTAACGACTCAGGGACGACATATTACATATACATGCATTATATTTTGGTATCTATAGGCACCCTCACCTGATTTACGATTGAAGCAAATGTCAGTCTTCGTAGCCTGGCAGTGAGAATGGCACCCGATTTGCTGAAGGAGTAACCCTGGAAAAGATTTTGGCTCATAAATTATACTACCTAACGAGGGTCAAAGCTACCGAAAGTTTTCCAATGTACTCAAAAATGTCACTGGGAAATGCAGATTGTCTCATTTTCAAAATAAAAATTGGATCTAAATTTACAACTTGCTTAAGTTTTGAAGAGCACCCGATGTGAGAACTAAAAAGGAATTTCCCAGAAGTGACGAGACAAATTTATTTAGACTGCCTTCGGATCCAAGGTGCGGACGCTTTATTTTTTTCGTCCACCTTGCAATCAACAGCACTGCTCTACATTCGCGTCTGCGCGAAGGCTTTATATTTTAATGCACTCGATTAGGGGAGAGAAACGATTTCAGCCATGGCATCCTTCGTTGTGGTCGTTGTGTCACCATTATGTCACATCCCCGTCGTCACAAGCCCCCCCCCCCCCCTTCCCTCCTTTCCCCTCTCTGCTTCTTTGTATCTCAAGCTCCGCTCTCTCTCTCTCTCTCTCTCTCTCTCTCTCTCTCTCTCTCTCTCTCTCTCTCTCTCTCTCTCTCTCTCTCTCTCTCTCTCTTTCTCTATCTCTTTCTCTCTCTCTTTATTTATTTACATCTCATTCTCCATCTATTTCACCTTCACTCTCCCCCTCTCTCTCCTTTTCTATCTAATAGATAGCATTTGTATAGCGAAAATCCACGCTCAACAGCAAGGTCTATGCGCTTCACAACCTATACTATTACCCCAGTAGACCTGAGAGCATTCTGAAACAAACTCAACTTCCTGGGAAACATACAGTTCAAGCAGCCATTTATAGGCGATAAAACACGATCTATCTATCTATCTATCTATCTATCTATCTATCTATCTATCTATCTATCTATCTATCTATCTATCTATCTATCTATCAGAGGCGAAGCGTCTATATAATCAAATAATCACTGCTTCCCTTCTTAATTTTGAAACAATGTCGCAGTCAAATTCACCCATAAACGTAAACTTCATAAATTAAATGTAAAAAGACGTTCATAATCAACAATGAACAGTATGCCTAACATTCTAAACGGTTTCATTGCCACAGAAATAGCCTGTTCATCCCTCTTGGGCCACTCCATAAGCAGTCACAAGCTTTGATTAAGTAAGCTTAAAGTGAGACTGAAGAGTCTACCAACAGAATTGAAGGGAACATGTGCATGGCAGTCAAAACTGTTTCATTGCCACATATACCCTGTTCACCCCTTTCGGGCCACAGTTATAATCAGTCTCAAGCACTGATTAGTTAAGCTAACTATTACACTGGTCGAGTCTACCTCACAGATGTAAGGGGAACTAACTCCTAATAATCTCTCGACTGCTTCGAGTGCTTGTTTTTTTTCCTCGACTTTTTACTGCCCTATAATCAGATCGTGACCTCGATTATGACACAGGCTCGTGGCCGCGAAAGGCTAGACAAAAAACAGCCAAATGTGAAATTTAAAAAATGATAATTGTCATGTTCTACCAAAGAGTTAGAGACTCCCTGGTAGATCTATAACAATTAGATCTAGTACTGACATCTCTGCTTCTTTGCTTTGTGTTTGTGTATTCACATCTAAAGTTAAATTTAATTTTAATTGGAATTGATATTTAATTAGATACTTTCCCGATTATTTTGGCGGTTGAACATACAATAACGAATTCCGGATTTGTTTTCATTCACAACTCTTGAGTCGCCGCCTCGAGCAAGGTTCTTGTGTGATATCCCCAGGCCATATCTGGTCCAGTTTCACTTTGATTACCCTGTCTAACAAGTCAGCCTTCGCCCCTGCTATCTGTCTATCTATCTATCTATCTATCTATCTATCTATCTATCTATCTATCTATCTATCTATCTATCTATCTATCTATCTATCTATCTATCTATCTACGTGCACATACGTTTATATGTACATGTATTATGTCCATCAGTCCGTTTCTTTCTTCTTTTTTTTTTGGTCTAAAAAGTTTACAGGGACATCCGAGATTGCTCCGTGATAATCTATACCTTAACAAAAATTCCCCAGTGAGATTTAAAGAAACCTCTTCCCTTCATCGCCCTGAACAAGAATACAGTAGCTATGATAATGATGTTATTTCTGTGCTCTCACCTGAAACATGCGGGATATAGCGCTGATAATGGCGATCCCTATAATCGAAGCCCCTAAGATGTGGACATGGTTCATCTGTTCCGTCTCGTCTTCCACAGAAAACGTCTGTCGATGCAAAGATAGTGATCACATGAGATTCAAACGCTGTGCGAATTTTAGGTTTTTCCTTACGGATAGGTATAACTCATTCCTGGCCTTTTTTAAGATTCTCAATGTGTGTTCACGAAAAAAACAACTACTACTTTAACAAATATTGACCAACAAGTAAGCGCCATACCTAAAATCAGGCGTTAGCCTTGTCTATTCAAGTATCCTAGGAACTGCATCAATTGTCTCTTCCTGATTTGTTTTAGTTGGGTTTTGTTAGTAGTAACAGTCCCACGCTGTCTTCCTTCAATACTACCTCTTTTCAATTAATTTCTTTCCATGAAATTTTCAACAGTCTCCTAAGAAACCACGTTTTGGTAGCCTCTAGTTTATTATCGCAATCTTTAGAAACCGGCGTCTGTGGTACACACTTTGACACTTCGCTGTCGCACTCTAGAGACCCGAGTTCTATTCTCGAGTGGGGATAATTTTGTTATCGAGTACATCTGTCTTTTTGCAAGTCTGCTGTATCCCTTTTAGTCTGGACTGGCCCTGGTAGTCATGGTCGAAAGCCTGAAACCTAAACAATATAAATTGTGTCGATGGGAGCGCAAAACATTTTTTTAAAGAAAAAAAATTGAGAGTAACAGTCCAGCACGTTTCAAGAAATCAAAAAAGGTCAGGGGCAAGAGGGGGGGGGGAGCGGTAAACTCTTACCTTGATGAACTCACTGATCACGAAAGAGAAGCATGGATGGACAGCTCCCGTGACGAGCGAGCTGAAACTGCCAATCAGGATGAGATGCCATTCCGTAGAGTTGTAGTGGAACACCTGGGCTATCGTTACCGGCTCTGCCTCTGGTTCTTCTTTCTGGAAGGGGGGTATGATAATATTATATTTTTTATGTACGGAATGGATTCTGAGAACAGGAAAAAATATCTAGAGGAAGACCAGAAAGAAGCTGGCAGAGTGACATTAAAGAGCAGATAGGTACAACCTGGACACAGAAAATAGCTGATAAAAACAGAGTGGGTGTCGTTATTGGAGGGCTAAATGCTGCAGTGGACAAACAACGCCCGGAAAAGAAGAAAGAAAAAAAGAAAGAAAGAAAGATTGAAAGAAAAAGAGAAGGAAAGAAAGATGTGTTTCCTTTGAATATTTCATCTGTGTTGTTTGTCACGGTGCAAATTTTTATCGCCATGTTCTGCAAGGTACGAATTTTACAGATCAGCAGTTTCAAGGGGGGGGGGGGGGGAGGGGGGCTAGGCGTGGTATGGTAATATAATTTATTTTTATTATCTTTTCTTTTACTTTTTCATCTGTGTGTCACAGTATGGTGCGTATTTAACGAATTGTTCAGAACGTGTAAGTTTTTCAGGGGTACGGGGAGGGTATAATGATTTTATTTCTTTTTTTTATCTTCTCTTTGACTTTTTCATTTGCGTTGAAAGGAAAAGTATGGTGTAGCTTTAAAAGGTTCAAGTTCATCTCCAATAGAACTGTGCCAGATGGGTGGACACTGCCCAATAACTCAAGAATGCCTCTCTAACGATTCAAACCCGCTGCGTCCGTGCCGCAACTCATCAATACAATGATAATTATTGTGCTAACAGTGAACCGACGTGTTTGAAATCTAAAAAAACTTAAAGGCGTAGATTCTCTCTCTCTCTCTCTCTCTCTCTCTCTCTCTCTCTCTCTCTCTCTCTCTCTCTCTCTCTCTCTCTCTCTCTCTCTCTCTTTCCCTCCCTCCAAGAAACTACCCATGACGAAAATAGAAAGGGATTTATGAGCTATTCTTCCTTCGAAAAGAAAGAAAATTCCAAAAAGCTATGGGTGCGCTACGCTAGCTCAGTTAGCGTCATACTGGACTAGGCGACATAGCAGATGGTCTTGGTTCGAATCCCAGACTGGGGGTTCTTGAACTCGGGTCGTTTTTGTCGAGTTTTCATGATTTCAGCCCATTTATCTCGGTCAGATCGGAGATGGACGTTAAATTCGAAGGTGCCGTCTCTTGTATAACCTAATATTTTTATAGGGTTGTTACACCCATACATTTACCAAAGAGCAGCTGCTGTAGTATTGTTCTAAAACCCTGACCTGTGAACCGGGTTTTCCTGGAGAAGAGATATCCGCCTTTGCCTTGCGCTTGCTGTCTCGGGCGACCAGACTGACTTGCTTCTGGAGACCTTTAGAAGAGCTGGACATCCTCTTGAAGGATGCACGGACAAGTTTGCCATCGATTATGTCTTCCTCCCAGTCATCTTCTTCTACAATCTCTACGTCAGCAATGTCTGGTAAGAGAATGATTTTATGGCCCTCTTGACGATGTTTCTTTTGTGTGCGTGTGTGTGTTTGGGGGGGGGGGGGGTCAGTTTTGACAACTTTTTAATTAGATCTACTTTCGATGCTCCCAAACATCAATAATTAACTTTGAAAACCCTCTTCTATCCCTTCTGCCAGCTCTATTAGCACAATAGGATCAAGCAATATCTTGTCAATCAGCCAGAAAGCGAGATATATGTAACAGGCTGTTATCTTAAAATTCTTGCTTTCGGGGTGTTTCCAGTAGCTATACATTAAGCCCCTTCAACACGGCATGCCGCACACTTAATCTGTTCTTCATCTCCTTGACATCAGTATGCGAGTTGTACATGAAGATTTCTTGTCTGCCTCAGAAACCTTACCGCCAAAGCAACAGTTAAGATGAGTTGTTAACTTATAGTGAACATATTAAACCACTGGTTAAGCAGATTTGTGTGTGACGTCAGGAGGAAGGCTTTGCGCTAATACGTTTTAAACGACAAACATTTTTCTTTTTAAAACATGAGTTGTAGGGGTTTTGATTGTAAATTTTCCTTTTCCTATCAACATGAAAAGCTACATCGAGCCAATCCTATTATACGGGTGCGAAGCATGGAAAAAACAATTGTTGCGGCAGAGTTGTGGTTCATGAGACGCATGCTACGTATCCCATGGACAGCTAGAAAAACAAATGAAGAAGTCCTGGTTGAAGCAAATTATAGAAAACAACTTATCACGAATATAAGAAAACGACAGGCAAATTTTTTCGGACACACAATGCGGAAAGAAGCATTAGAGAACATTGTAACAACAGGAAAGTTTGATGGAAAGAGAGGTAGAGGCAGACAGAGGGAAAAGATACTGGACAAGATGACAACATGGCTGAGAGCAGCAAGAACAACAGACACCACTGCTGCTTCGAAAGACAGATGGAAGTGGAGGTCCATGATCGCCCACGCCAGTCGGCAAGGCACCGGATGATGATGATCAACATTCATAATATTTCTGCCAACTTGAAAGACACCTCAGAAACCATTATGCTGGTTAATGTGTTGAGAGGATGAGAACAGAAATATGGGCAAACGTCACTTGTCTTCAACGTATCGTTAATGTATTTGTCAGACAGCATGAAAAGAAGAATATACCTTGCAACATGCTAGACAACATTACATGTGAAAAAAAGAAAAGGTCAACCCCACTCACTCAGCAAACATATCCAAACAGGAGTTGAAGGTCACGAAAGTATTTGTAACTGAAATACCAACACTCAAAAAGAATTCTACCTGCCTCTTATTGACAGTCTCGCACTTACAGGGTGCGATACTGTTTAGAACAAGAACATTCAAGGAAGAACTATGAGGATCATGCAACAAAACAACACTTAGTGTCCTATTGAGTGTAGATCAATCAATGTTTGACGACGTTCGAGAGGATTAGAATTAATATACAAGTATGAGTGTCTCGAAAAAGTGCTCGCAGCCAGTTTTTGGCGTTTCAATATCACACGTGTGTATACACATTGTCTGAAGTCATTTAAGTTTAAACTGAGTTGACTTCGCCAAGTCTTTTCACAAATCAACAGTGTGACATTTACGGAGCTTTTCACCCTAGATCTTTTCCCAGATACCCCAAAGCATCACATACGATAGTCCAGCCCATCTAAAAATACTATCAAGTAGTTTACAGGACCAGTTGTCGCTAAATAGGACAATTATGCATTCTCAAATCAATATTGAGTTTGATGAAGGCTCCTAGTGGTAGAGAAAAAAGATGTAAAATCAGACAGGTGAATAGTTACAGATAAAAAGGTACATGTATGGTCGGCGTTAAAGAAAAGTCTATTGTTAGGGAATTAGAAGCTACATGTTTAGTTTGAATGCTATCAGAACAATATAAAACTAGAGAGGAGCATTAGTACAAGAAGTTGCTGTACGTGGAAAAATAAACAGTGCGAGTTACATACATGTGTTTTTACTACACTTATGAACATTACCAAGATTCGATTCTTTCTCGATGTTTGCCTGTTGAAATCAAAACAAAAGCACACGTCAGTGTGTAATCATGTTAGCTGTGCCTAAAATACCGGCCCACATTATAGGTGGTTCTGGTCTTCAAATAGATTCAGTTCAAACATAAGGAATATTGTGTTACGTAAAAGAACATTTCATTCTTTTTGGTGGGCCTGCATGCTTTACAAATACATGTATTCGCACATTCGATCCCCCTCAGTTTCAATATATCCTCATCCTAACTCTCTCCCTTGAAAAAAACCCTCATGAAACGTGTGTAAATA